ATCGGGGCGAACGGCCCATGATCCCGTGTAAAGGCGAGTACCCACACCTATTCCAAAGTCCCCCTGCAGGCAGACACAATGAACAACCAACGCAGTAGGTCGTACCGGGGGATGGAGGCGGCACGCGATAAGAAGTAATGCACGATCCACGATGTTCTCGGCTTTGACACGTCCCAAAACATCCACACGTGATCTGCAAGTTGCTTTCGAAGAGTCCCAGTCAAAACACGCACGAAGGAGCCATCCCACACATACGCAAGTAGGTGCCAGAGATCTGCTGTGGACACTCAATACAATTTTCGCGTCTTCAGGTAATTTCAATCCGCTCTCAATGCTACGTATTCCACTCCGCTTGATGATGACACCGGTGGGGAGTTTCCCCTGTGAAGATGTTCCACTCACCCGTGCCTCCCGAGTCGCAGCCAGTTTTTTTAACCCGTGAGCTTTCCTGCGTAGGAGCCGGGTCTGCAGCTTCGCGTCCTCACTATTCTCTGCGAGACCGCCCGACGAAAGGCCGTCCTTGGCCGCCTTAGCCGCCTGCGGCTTGCCCCCCCCCGCAGTCTCGTTCCCACCCTTACCGTCCGTTCCTCCACGCCCCCCCCCTGCACCCTGTGCACCACCTTGACCGCCTTTACCTCCTCTGCTGCTCTCCTTACCCTCCGTTCGGTCCGGTCCATCTCCACTTCCCTCTTGCGGCTCGACGCTCCCCCCTAACCCGTCCCCGTCACCACCCTTGTCCTCGTTGAGGTCGCCGCGGGAGAGCTTACCCCCGCTGCGCCCTTTGTCGCGAGAATCCCCCGCCCTTCCACCCCTCTCCCCGTCACCCAACCCCTCCTGTCGTTGCCGTGACCGAGCGGATGCATGTGCCTGAGCAACCTTTTCCCTTCGTGCTCTTTCGGCAGTCTCTTTCTCCTGACATTAAGTTCGACCACAAGCGAAGAGAGCCGAACACGCGATGCATAAAGGACTCGCTATTTTATAACAAGGTTTGCATTCGTACCTTCCGAATCTCATTCCGTTCTCATTGTGGTTGGAATTTAGCGAGTCCCCGCGGCTTCGAAGGAAGACAAAAAACGGTAATAATGCGTACTGCTCATGGCTCTGAAGGCCGTCAACGCTTTCGTCTCACCCTGCATTTGGCGTGGGCTTCCTGTTCGGCCTCAGCTGCCGCCTTCGATGATGCTAGCGGCACCTGCAAGCATTACCACCACCAAAGCCGCGACATTCACAACATGAACGTGCATCCTTCGGCGTCCGCGCATCCGTGCATGGTACTAGTCTAGCACAGCATCGACTCGATGGCCTAGACAAGCCGGCAAAATACGCCGGGCAAAAGGAAGAAAATAATACAAGTAATATTAGGCGAAGCTCAACTTCCACACTTCCACACTCTGACCTTCCCATTGCATAGTTGAATACCCTGCCGACAAGGTCTCGGGATGAGGCGGGTGCCTACGGTGGCTACTCACAAAGTAGGCGCCTCTGACGAGGTTGTAGTCACGCTCGCGCAATATCAGGTCCTCGCGAGCCTGTAGGGTTGCGCCGGATGGCGTGAAAAATGAATGATCACGACGAAACGGCACCGAATATGGACATGGACGACCCCCATGAATTAGTGAGCACCGTACTTCGTCTGCAGAAAGATAACGGGATTCCAAAGCCAGCGTGCGTTCCATGTCCGACATCAGGTACTTGCATGTGTTAGTGCAGG